GTTGGTTCCAAGAAAAATGTGACTATAAGGGGGTTGTGACTATATAGGAGTGTGCTTATAGGGGGGGATGACTGTATATTATCTTTATTATTGTGTTGTATGATATTGTTGAAATTGACAAATCGCGTGACGAGATGATCATTATCTCGCCGCAACCTAGTTGCGATTATCGTAACGGGATTGATAGATTGCGTGACGAGATCATCGCTATCTCGTGGCAACTTAGTTACGAGAGTCATAACTAGGTTGCGACGGAGTTGACGAAATTGCGTGACGAGATAGTTATTATCTCGCAGCAACCTAGTTGTGACCCTCGTGACTAAGTTGCGACGGATTCGGTGAGATCATGTGGTGAGATCGTCACTATCTCGCCACGACCCAATTGCAAGTGTCGTGGTGGGGTCGTAACGGGATTGACAAATCGCGTGACGATATCATCGCTACTTCGTAGCAACCTAGTTATGACTCTCGTAACTAAGTTGTGACAAGATTGTCATAATCTCAACAAGAGGGCACAGTGAGATTGGCAAATACTAGAGAATTCTGTAAAGTGTATATTATTACTTATTCCTTTTACTTACTAAATTTTTGAGTTTGCATAATTATAATCTACTTTTTTTTTGTTTTTAGGTAAAGCTGATAATAATACACGTAATTCTTTGGTTGCTAAATTAAAATATCACTTGCTTATTTCTTGTGCTTTTAGTTAACAACTATTTCTACACTAACCCACATTTGTCTTGTTGTTATGGCAAGCCATCCAAATTATAAATGGGGCGTGCTGCAACAAAACCAGACAAAGTGAACATGTGACATCATAAGTGGCTCGACCTTTATTTACATAGCCACCGCTGAAAGCAAATTATCTTCTTCACAAAAGAACCTATAATGTCGTTTATGGATACAGCCGATACTCCATCCAATACACAAAGCTATGTGCTATGGATCCTCTTAGAAGGAGATGAGGAACCTGTGAAATATAATTTTAATTTTGGCCCTGACATTCAGGACCCTAACTTGAATGATCTCAAAGCCAAACTCCCTCCTCTAGTTGACGAACTGAAGAATGTCAAACCTAAGGACATTCACTTCTTTCACTTTGATGCGCGCATCCACCCTATTCACTCAAACGCCTTACTCCAGGATATACAGGCGGACAATGCTTTCAGTAACCCACTTGTCGTTAGGTACCCTCTATCTAAGGCACAAGGTGAACCAACATACATACTTTTTAATTTTGATTTCTTTTTTTTTAAATATTTGTTCCTCTTCAATTGTAGTTGTCGCTCACTGTCAACTATCAATTCAGCGATTTAATGGACGGGTGGGTCACTCAACTGGAGCTTGGTATCTTCTTCGCAAGCAAGCTGAAGACAAATTTGAAGAATTGCGTGGGGCGGACTATTGGTTTATTGAAAATAGATCAGATGGTACGAAAGGAGAGGAATTGAAAGATGAATTTCAGTTCAATGGTTGGCTCGATGACGTTCCCAAAACAAACAGATCGAAGATCATTAGTCTTTCGATAAAAGTCGAAGGTTGGTCGTTAGTCATAAACTTAGTTTGAGTAAGTTTATGTCTTAACGTTCACATATTTTACAGGGATGAGGTCTTATAGTGACTGGAACTTGGGTGACATTACTCATGCTCTCACTGGAGTTAGGATAGACGTGTTTCCATAAACTTCTGGCAGCCGCTGCCGCATTTCAATTGACACTTCGTAGACTGGACTTCAAAGTTTGGTGATTGAGAAATGTGCAAGCAGAAGTGTATGAGTAAGCAGAAGTGAGCATACAATTATAGTGTGCGACAGGGCTCTAGTGTGTAAGTAATCATGTGAGTATTGCGAGAACCTGCGTCGAATGTAAGAATTTGAGGAATTGTCATTCTTTTTCATTCGTAGCGGTAGTCATTTTAATGATAAATATGTTGCGTCACCATATAATCCCAGAATTATATGGACTATATGTGAACGTCATGACCATATGTGCACATAATGACTATATTAATATTAATATGTGAACGTAACGATTATAT